CTGAAATCATTTGATCTAACTTATTGAATACACGAGAAGCTACATCTGGTCTTTCATTGGCCGAGTCATTTCCGTAACGGTGAATGTGGGTTTCTATTTCTTGCCAAGCTGGATTAGCTGTAATCATGACGAATAGATGGGGATTACCAAAATATCTGCAAATTGCCATTGCATCATGATAATTTTCTATCATGTATCTTGGTCCACCTGTAAATGATGCTGGTAAGATTACTCTTTTTCCTAGCTCTTTCGAATTTGTATCCCCCCTCCCTATTGCATCTCGGACATTGTTGTACAAGTCTGCTCTGAGTTGCTTTTGGTTTAATCTGTTGAATTTCAACCGTTCTTCCTCAACTGCCGTGTACGCATCCACAACAAATTGATGGAAAAGCCTACCTCCTTGTATTAATGTTTTCCCTTCCTTTAGTCTAGTTTGAATTTGATAAGCGTAGAACTCACGAATTGTAACATCAGCTCTCTTTATTTGACTTCTTGGGATTCGCCTATATGTGATTCCCAAATGGAATCCACTATCACTGTATGGGAAAAGGAGTGGATACTGGAGGGACATGTAATGCTGCTGTAGTGTGCTTATCTGTTGAAGTTTTTGGCTTTGATATTCAACTATGATGTCTCTTTCACCATTCGAATCTGAACTGGCTACAATTAAACCAGCTAATTCATCGCCAGTTGGCAAGTCATATTGCCTTCCCTTCTTTGATTGACCAACCAGGCGGATCGTGAACTCTTCAATGCCACCTGAATTGTATTTGTCCCTTGCTTTCCTAAACTCTTTTGCTAGATGATTGTGCTCATCTAACATCCGAACCAGTTTCTCAACCATTTTTTCGTCGACCTTGTCAGATTCTTTTCTAGATGACAATGTTCGGATCCTATTATGTATCTCATTCGCTGTATCATAAATGTACAAATGCATGAATTTAGGTGGTGTACCTTCTGGTGGAATTAGAGATCCCATTTTATGGTGGTTTTGGCCTGATATTCTGTAAGTATATGGTCCACGCCCATCCATAACTGAATTGTCTACTTTTGCACCGACGGATGTGAATGCAAGTAGCGAATTGAGAACCTTTATTTTTTGCCTGAATTGAGCCCTTGTGAGCATGTCTGCTAATTCACTTGGTGGCTCTTTAAATGGTGGCAGTAGGACCCTTCCTTTTTGACAACAGAGTGGGTATAATAGTTCGCCACTTAAAGATCTCTCTGTGCTCTCAGCTTCCCAAACTAAAGCTCCACACATTATGCATTCTTGTAATTCGTTTGGACTCCCTCTTTTTGGTTTTGGACGGCCTAATTGAGTGGTAAGTGGATAAGCTGTTTTTTAATTGATTGTTTAATGAGAATAAGAACTCGTTTATGATCTTACATTTCCGTAGGGGAGGTTTCGTTCGTGATGCCAAAGGATTTGTGATGATTCCCTCTTTCTGTACTGTTTTCTCTGTTGATATTTTATTTGACATGTAAAACATTAGTGTGTTGGCTGTAGGTTGTAAAGTGACAGAGAATAAACGTAATACCATTATCTTATCAGTTTTGCATCATCATAAAATATTAAAAAGAAAACAGACATACTAATCGTGAGGCTGATTTTTGTAGTGTGTTTTGAGTGGCTCTTCAACGTTTTGTCCCTGGTGGAATCTGTCACAGTAAATTTGTGTTTTTTAAAATTTCATTCTGTAGATTAAAATCAGGAGTGCTTCCTAAAAAAATGGTTAATGTTGGTTTTTGAGGTTGCTGTACCATTGTGCTTTCTAGCATTTCTTTTTCTTCTCAAAATTTCCATCCGTGTTTTCCTTGCTAGACATGTTATCTCTGCATCATGAGGGATCACATTCAATGTAGTATTGGTGGTTGACGTAAGTTTAATACATGGTCAAGTATTGTTAGTTTTTCATATATTTGCTGTTGTTTGTCTATTTTTTACACCGCATTTTGTATTGTGTTTACAGAAATGCATACCTTTATAGTTACTTGCTTCTATGGATGACTGCATTGGTGGAAATTGTGACCTAATTGTTGTTGTTGTCTCCATCTCCTCACCTATATATGCAGATTACGTTGTAATTGCTTCGTTGATAAGTAATACTAAATGAATTTATAACCCTTTTTTTGTTGACGGTATTTCCACACTTTGGACGTCATCTTACATTGTTTTAGAATATTGTTTTGAATATAATAAAGATGTATCAAACATAATTACTATTTCAATTAACTTAAAGTCTAGAAATCAGTTTCTTATGTTATACCGAAAGTGTATTTGAAAAAAAAAAACCATAATTGACAATACATGTTATCATTTTAAAATAATTAATAAAGTTGCCTACACTATACTCTTTTTGTTAAATTTAACATATATTCTGCTAAGTGTAATCGGTTTTGATTATAAGCACACAATATTTGCATGTAAATGTTTATTCAGTTGCTCGATAATGTTAGTAGCTATTTTGTATTTGAATGTACCTTTTCTTTTAGAGATCATAATCGTCCTCCTCTTTGCCCGGTTCTCCTTTGAAGATTGTTCCCCAAACAGTAGATGTTTTCTTTTAAGTGACTCCATCTCCTTCTAGTAACCTCGTAAATGTTATATATTTCTTTTAGAAATTATATATATATAACAAGAATTTTATGAACTGGATTATAGTGATATGGTTGCAGTGGGTTAAAAAAAAGTTTAGTGAGATAAATTTTGAGCACAATTAGTTGGAGTAGTAAATAAAGCGATATTATTTTTACCCTTCTATTACTCGATGTCCTTTGTTACTTCTGATAGGTAATCTTCTGGAACTCCGTTGAATATAATTGTGTTCTTGGTTGTGGAGGCTATAACAAAGGTGATCGATGTTCAATTCACGGTGAAAAAAATAGTTAGGATGAAATGTCCCATGATGTAGGACGTATATTATATGTAATCAAAATGTGTTAAAAAGTTAATCTTTTTCCATGTTTTTTGGAATATGTAGGGATGAGAAGATTGTTTAAAACTTGCCTTCGTTGTATGCTTGAAGCTTCATCTGTGTTGGTGTTCATCTCCGTTCCGCTTTCTATTGTAGGGTAAAATTAGCAGAAAGTGTTAAACTGAATACACTGATCTTCTTATATTTGAAATTTTGACACTCCTAATCGGAACAGTTATTCCCTTCACTCTTTGATTTCTTTGGACTCAAAATGTAACGTCATAATAATTGTTTCTCTAAATTGATTTATTGGAATGCGCCAGGCGTTATTAGTTTAAATATTATACGTGTGAAATGAAAGAGTCATATTGAAGGCGAATGTTACGTGAGTAATTTCTGATTATCCAGTAAACTCAATCTTAGTATTTGTAGTCATTGATGTAGGGATTATTTTGTAAATTGTAGTTTTGTGTGTGATGTGTGTTATTTATTTGTGTATATTCTATTTTTTATAAATTGGTTTTATTATGGGGCGTTATATTATGTAAAGTAGTTTGTATATATTTTGTTATAATTTTAAGAACGGCTGTTTACATTTTCTGCGAACTGGTGAACTTTGTTTTCTGAATTTTGCAAGGTCGATTATGTTGATAAGTTCTCAGTGTTTCGTGCTGCACAACCTTTTATTTTAGTTTTTATTATTTTGTATTTTTTCCTATTTTTTTAATCCAACTTCAGTTTCTAGCTGTCACGGAGATCGGAGATCGCAGGTCATGTGTATATTAAGTTACATACGTGTAACTGTTTTGGAATATATATTGTTTATTTTTTGAAACTGGATTTGGAGTGATTAATGTTTCTTAATTAATTGCATGTCATTGTGTAATTCATTTTTAAGATTGAAGATTCTGTTATCTTTGGCCTTATCACCTTCAAACTTTTTGGTCTCAATTAGTTTTCATTACAAATTATTACTGATAACCTATAAGATGCATGGAGGAGTATCTGTATTATTATTTAAATATTTTATTATTTTGCAATGTAAAATTTGTATATTGTTCGCGATTCCACGTCTTTGTGACGTTATTGCTGCATTAAATTTTTACCATACTTTCATTACAATAATATGGTCAAAAATTACATAACTTGCCGTCGGTTTTGGAAGAGAGTTGGTCTGCCGTAGCAGCAGTTTTGTTTGAGTTGCTGTTGTTATTTTTGGGTTATTTTGCTGTAAATGGTTACTTGTAATTAGTAGCAATATAAATTGCTATGTAGTAATTAAAGGGGTTTCAAAATTTAAAGTGACGCAGAATTTAAAAAAAAAAGATATTTAAATAATACTAATAGTTGTCCCTCCTTTTGAGGTATACTCTTGTAAATTTCATGTCTTTCTTTGATTTTAGTTATTGAGGGGTTTGACCAGTTTTTAATTGTCTAATTTTGCAGATTAAGTTATTTTTATATTCGGTAACTGGTGAGGTCAATTGAGGGCTTGTCGTTACTTAGACGTCTATACACTTAATTAGTTGGAAGTTGTAATATTCTTAATTTTATGAGATGGTTAATCTTAGAGGAGTTGGTATTGATGAACGATGCATATTTTAGAAATTATTAAATTTAAAGCGTCAAAAGATGGCAATCATAATGGTTTATGTAGAAAGAGAAAGTAAATGAAAGAAACAATTAACGTGGAATATTAAAAATAAGTAAATTATAGAATGTCTTGATTTTCCATGGAATAAGGGATTTATTCGCTCCAGATTTTTTCAATGTGTGCGTTGCTTCTTGGATTTCACTTTTGAGGAATGGAGTTTATTTGTATCAGCACTCTGTAATTTTCCAGGTTGAGTAATGTTCTCCTTCTTTGAATCAGTCAACTTGATTTTGTCCTCCTTGTGAATAATAAGAATAAGAATAAGGTAAAGGTAAAGGTAAAAAATTTTATATAAAAAAAAGAATAAGGTAAAGATTGTGTGAACGTTGTGTGTGTAGTTTAATATACAATGGTTTATTTTGTTAATTTATTAAAACTTGTGCGTGTGTGCTTTCCGATAGTACTTCAGCAGAAACAAGTGTTTCTCCCACCGGGATTGATTCCTTTTCGATATCGTTGATGTTGTATGTCAGGTCAGACAGATTAGGGTTGAGTGTTTCTTCCGTGATTACTTCCTGGTTAAAGCGATAGTTTGTAAGCCAATAGTAATTGTTAAATCTCTGAAAAGCGAGAATTTATTTAACTGGAATATTACCTCAGCGTGGCTCCTATTTATTTCACGAAGTACCCTTGACACGGTGAAGGATTGGAAGGATGATTTGAAGTTGAAGTTTGTGATTTTTACTTGAAAATCCATTGTCTTTCCAACCAAGTCAGTTATGCACAGGGGAATATTGTTGCGGTTCGATCCGTTATCACCCGCCCTGGCCTGCAACAAATACATTGTATTGTAAAAATGAACATTGTCTGTGCTGTATATAAATTTGATGTCATTGTAATGCATCGATTTCAGTTGAGGACCTCGTTAATATCTTCAGCAGTTGTGTTAGTCAATTTTGCGGGTGTCTCTGTCGAAAATCACAAAGTTAGTTTTCTCGCCGGCATCAACAACTGCCAAGTCTACTCTGAATCTGTATATAAAAATGAAATATAGAATTTGTTTTTTGCCAACATTTATGATATGTAGGTTATTTAAATTAAAATATTTCGTTATGAGTTTCTTACTTTAAAACACCCATGGCGTTAGTGTCGTTGCAAGTTGTACAAGTGAATGAAGATAGTCCACAGACAAGTTTTTTTTAGCATCTTCCACATGCCACATAATTCCAACCATTTCTGGTGTTTATGCTAGCAACTGTTGCTCTGCATATGACTTCTTTTTCCTATTAAGATGGTTTAAGTAATAATGAACATTAATCCATTTTGATTAATTTTTTTTTTTAATTTTAGAACAAATCCAGTTATGAAGAAATAATCATCTTATAAGAAAATTTGTGTACCTGTTTTGCAGAGGACCTAGCGTATTCCAACAGTGATGTCAGTGTTGATTTTTCAAATGTTTTCTAGGCCATTTCCTCATTCTGGACTGATGGCCGCTGGTTGATCTTATTTTTACCGACCCTGTGGATTAATATTATAATATGTGTCATTGTAAAAAGTTGTGGAGGCGTTAATTCATCTTGTGCAATTCATAATTTACCTTTTCGAGAAATCTTTGATAATTTGAAGTCCCTTGTCGAAAAAGAACTTGGTTGCGCCTGTGGAATTCAAGTATAGGGTACCTGTATAGAAGCACAGTAGTTGTTCATATATGTTGATTAGGGAGCGGAAATGAGTAAAGTAAGAATTTTTAAAAGTGTTGACGATAATTGCAAATACCTGCGAACAGCTTCGGATTAATGCACGTGCAAACGACCACAACTTCATCTTGTCCTTCAAAGGTAAAGGCTTTTCTGAAATCTTGTGCTTGTTGGTCCCATATTGTTAGGCAAACGGTTGTCCCCCTTTTTAAATTTAAGTGTTTTGGAAAACAATTATGGTGCGAGATTAGTATATTATAAATAACTCTAAACAAATATATGTAACCAGTGTTTATGAAGATATTTAAGGTTATATATAATTTTATAAGGCATAACTGTTAATTAGCAAAAAAGAGCAGGATGACTAAAATGCAATCATTCTGTCAATTATGGGTAACTTTACTGGCCTGATAAAAAATTGGAGTGTCGAGTAAACGATGATCGATTTATGGTGGATGACAGTGGATGTTAAGTTATGAGAATGTGATCGATAATGTGATGTGACTTTTGTATAATGTGATGGATTATTTTTATGTTGTGTTTTAAAATGGTTGCAAAACTTTGGTGATGAACTCAAATTATATAAATTAACATAGAATAACACATAATATTTTGTAGATTCCCGACAAGATTCGGTATTAAGGTTCAGTGCTATCTCGTAAAAAAATCTGAGGGCGGTTAAAATAATTTGATTCTTAATTTGCAAAGGAAATTGTGGTAGTGAGAGATTTGTGTAGTATGTAGATTTGAGGAATGGTCAATGTGAAGTCCCATTGTCGATATTTAAAACTCACTTGCCCTACAGATTGGACAAGTTGGGTTTATATACAACCAAGTAATAATACATTCATTATGGTATATGTGAGTACAGGTTAATTTGTTGATATACTTTCCACCTTCATGGTTGAAGACATATTGTGCATTCATCACTTTGCTCTTCATGGGTTGGCAGCTCTTTCTGATCCTGTAAACTGGCTACGAGAATGTCTCTATCGGCCATAGCTAGAGCGTGGACGTTGTTATTTGTAACTGTGAAGTAGATCTCAATGGCCGTATTCATTTGGCCTTCCGTTGTTATGACCACGGCGTTGACGAAGCGAAGAAAGTATTCAGCCCATCTTCTTGCGGTGAGCTCTCCAATTTCGTGGTAAGTGAGAAGAACTTCAACGTTTCTTTTAAAGACTGTAGTCTGTGTATGTGTTGCGTTTGTCGGGTACGGGATTTGGATGACGACGTCGCTTCGCTGTGTGTGGCATTCGGATTATGATATGGATTGTTGTTGATCTATGTGTATTCTGGGGCATCGTTTCATGGGAGCAAGTGTAAGATAGACCTTCTGTCTCTGCCATTTTTTTTGGAGCTTTTTGTATCGAATTGTTTAGTGAGTGACCTTCACAGTATTTATAAGGTCATTTTAAAATGAATTGTCCTATCGAGTTCCTGTCTTTTTTAGGGTCATGTACTTTCCATTCATGATTTATTGGGTGTACGCGCATTAAGTTGATGGTCTACTAATTATTTTTCACCAGACGTTGAAGTGTGTGGTTTGTAACGGTTGTTTCCGTTGCATGTAATTTGGAGGTGGGAAGATGAAAATCGAGGAGACTGGGAACTTAGGTTTTAGTCGAGAAGTTCATATCTTTATAAGTCGAGCTGTTTGATTTAGCAAATGCAAGTAAATGGTCATGTGTGTGAACCCTGAATTTGTCTTTTCCGATCTTAATCCAGTTCGTGGGAAAATCAACAAAAGTTGTTTGGTCAAGGAATTTGATGACGAATGGATGATCTGTGATTTTGTGGTGTGTAGTGCACGGTTTGACTTCAAACCCACCAAGTTGGAAAATAGTCCCCTCCTTTAAAGTGGAGAGGTGTTTTTGGGGAAGTGGTGATGGTATGAAACAATGGATTGTAGATTCCTGTTGATAAGTAATATTGTTAGAGTAGATCATTTAGGTAATAAACACATAAGTACGAGAAAATTTTTGGGTACGTATTGGTAAAACAGTTAATTTCTAATTGTTAAAAACAGGTAGAGGGACAATTGTATAGACTACCAAGCCGGATATGGTCCAACGAAACAGAAAATATGAATAGAGGATAAAATGTAACAAAATACATAGATTTAAACAAATACCAAATACCATTTCATCAAGCATGACCATATCATCAAGCATGACCATAGAGATTCCGATGAATTGGTCTCGATTGTTTTCACTATGCACTTCCCACGATCTGATAACACGTCCAACAACATGCTGCGGGTGTAGGCCGAGATATAACTCATCAAAGGTGACGTAAGGACCTAGGTTTTGAGATGAAGAAGCCATTGTGACGAACGTATAGTAAGAGAAATGTAAGTTTGTGAACCCTTTTTTTTTGGGAGATTGTAGGTTAAGCGAGTATGTGTAGGAGAAAAGTAGTATTTATACTATTTTAGTAACCGATGTAGATTTAATACCTCAAATAATGGCATTCATGGAAGGCAACCTTTGAACTTGTAAGGATGGCACCGGTTTTATTATTTTAAGGAATTGGGAGAAGTTAAAGAGTTGTCCAGTACAACAAATACAAGTGGCTGCCAAGTTAAAACTGACAATATTGAAGATGAAGGTGGGGAGCCTCCCTTGTCTCTTGAGCTTGTTCATTTATGTGAACAAACTTCAACTGATATTGTAGTGCTTCATGAGATTCACTGAGGTAGGAAGGACCTATAGGACAATAAAGGAGGTCGGAAAAATCATTATGAAAATGCAGTGGAAGTCAACAATCAATGTTAAAAAATACATATTTAGTTGAGAAAATAACAAATAGAAGACCACGAAAGTAAGAGAAGTCGTGATGGGAAGAACCACATGAACCTTAGGGGGAGTTATTTTCTTGATTGAAAAATAAAGAATGTGTAAAATGAACCAGCCCTTTCTTATTGTGTAAATTTTTATTTCTGTAATTGAGGATACAACCCTTTTTCCGTAATTATGAAACCTAAAAACATATGTTATTTGGAGAAAATATGATTTAAAAGGAAAAATGGACCAGAAAATATGGTTACAAAGTTGAGATGGTGAGAAGAAATTTAAGTTGCTGTAATGTGGGAAATATAAAACTATTTCATAGTATAAGATTTGTTGTCCCATTTGATGCTGTTAATTGTGGCTATGCACATGTTTGAAGATTTCTTGAGAAAAATACATGTTTAATTGGTGGTGTCCAAAATTGGAGGAGAACCATTTTTTTAATTGAACGTTGGACTCATAACAATCTAATGGAAATCTATATTATAATTTCTAAGTAATAAGCTAAGGTAGACATAGTATTGGCGAAGCTAAACTTTATGAGGATTTCTCAATTTGCAGCGAACCATAATTTAAAGCCAAAGTTCATAACTTCTGTAGTTACCATTTAGTGAAGCTGGAAATTTACAAAGAGACCACTTAAAGTGAACCTCCCTAGATTTTTTTGTTCACCATCTGATTGAAAACATCTAACCAACTTACCTCATTATTGGGATGAATGTGTAGCTCTCCAATACACTGGTAAAGAGAACGAACCGAAGCAAACATCTCTCAAGTGTGGGTTGTTGATTCTGAGATTTTTGTCTCCATCTTCAATAACACCTTTTAATATCGTCGCTGCGAACAATTTTAAAAACATTAGCGTTAACAGAACAATAGTTGAACAATAAGATCCGATATACACATTGCGATAATTTCAGTTCCCAATTTTATGATCTGAGAAGAAAGCAAAACCCTTACGTTCATATTACTCTGAGCGAAATAGCTCCTTTGTAAAACGGAGAATCGAAAGCCCAAACCCCTTAATGTGGAGCCTTTTTTGTCTTTCACAGGCACTGAATTGAGGTTTTCAAGCAGCACCAAAGTTTATCTGTGAATTTAAATGGGTCTGTCCATTTGCCGGAGAAGCTGCAGTATGTGAAGATGAAAACTTTGATTATTTGCAAAAGAGAGTGAGGGAGGTATGATTCAATAAACCAAAATCAAAGGGTTTTGAGTCACTGAAGAATTACCTGAAGCTGATTTCTTAGATCCGGAGATGCGCCGGAGCTTCAGGAATGCGAAGGGGAGGTTACTGGTGGCGAGTTGAATCAGAGGGTTTTGAGGTTTTTTTGGGTTCCGGAAGATGATGGTGTTTGGTTATTTTCACCTGGAAAAGCAGAGATTTAATCGTAGAAGAAGATGATGGTGTTAGGATCTATGGTTCCCTGTTATTGGAATGAAGCTTAGGATTTGATCGGAAGAGAGACGGCGTCGGTAGCATCAGATTTTTTTAGATTTTTCTTAATAATATAAGATATGAAAACACGTGTCGCTCTTTCCAGTACTGACGTAGCAGTCAGCTGGAGAGAGTTAGTATTTTTTTATATTATAGATATGATTTATGTGTTTTTATTTTATTATAATTTGAACTTTTGATGGTTTTTACAGACCTTTCTATTTTTTCATATATCAAAACTAAAAAAAAAATCAGTTTATACACGAACTTTAGTGTTGTGCTAATTCATACCTAAACTATATATTTAGTTTAATTCATACCTAAATTTATTAATGGCTAATTTATACATGGCATCTGAGTTGACAAAATCTAGCAGTTAAATTAACACCGTTATAATAAAGTATGAATTAGCCGAATTTAATAAGTTTAGGTACGAACTGAACTAAATATAATATCGAGATATGAATTAGCACAATACTAAAATTTGTGTATGAACTGTTCTTTTTCCTATTCTTGACGTATGGAAAACTCGAAAGTGTAGTCTTTACAATTTAGTTGGATGTTACTTGTGTTTGAACAATTTGAATATATTTGACAACTCCAATAATTTATTTATTTATTAGCTATTTTTTGGTACTGTTTATTTATTAGCTATTAAATCACATTATATTCACTTAAAAGTAAATATAATTTAATATAATAATAATATTTAAGTCTCTTTATAAGTTAACATATCAGATTTTTTAATCTTTGAGTAGCTGACACCTTATCTATTTTACAAACCAACCAAATTAAAACATTAATACAACTCATCTATTTATTTTAATTTTTAAATTTAAATCCATTAAAACACCAAATACATTTTTTGTTAATAATTTGTTTTATTTAAAAAAAAATCAAAACCCAATTAATAAACAACATCAAATAAAAAAAATCTTTGTTTTATTGTTTGTCAAATCTAAATTCAAATAATAAATAACAGCAAAAAAAAACAATAAATAAAAAAATCTTTATTTTACTTTTTATCAAATCCAAATCCAAATATATATATATATATATATATAGTAAAAGTTTCTCTTCTTTTAGACTGCCACGTCATCTAAGCCTATCTCAAATAGTGACACCTCAGCATAACTAATTTCATGTAATTCATTATGTCTCATCTCTTTCGAATCATTCATTTGCTTAAAACATAACACATAACTCATTTTACATGTAATTTAAGTGAAACCCAACTCCTCTTTCAAATGGGCCCAATTGGAGCCCACAAGAAATCTTCTTCAAACGCCACTTCCACTCTCGGCATCTCCGCTGCAGATGTTGAGACAGCGCCACTTCCAACCTTAATCAAACGCCATTACATTCATCACCTCCATTCCCACATCTTCTCCGCCATCATAACCGCCGCCCTCGCCACACCGCCCCACACTTGATTCAGCAATGTCACCCCAATTTTAACAGTTATGCCGATCCATTTCCCCGTTCTCCAGCCTTTGCATCTCTAACGTTTCAAATCATCCTTTACTCCAGGAAATTAAATCGTAATTACACCATTTATTGTAACTCCTACGCACCCAATTCACTCGCAGCTTAATTGCACCTTCAAAGCCCACTACTCCACTACTTATGATTTAATTATCTCTAATCTTTCATCAATTCCCCTGCTTATAAATTCCCCATTTCGAAGAAACTCATACACCACAAATCGTTTTAACTCATCTTTCTATTAACCGCAGAGAACCAATCAAAAATGGAAACCTCCAATGTTCACTTCTCCGCCTTGAAAGCTGGCCGCACTGTTCAGACTGTAGTTGGACGCCTACTACGCTTCTGGGAGGCCCGTAATGTCAAGAAAGGTGGTGAGCTTATGGGTGTTGATATGCGCCTCCTCGATGAGAAGGTTTGTAAATTGCATATCTCCAGTCTTTTATATATAGAGATTTGTAGTCACACGGGCTCGCCACGGCTTTCTCTCTTTCTCATAGGCAACACTTATGCAAGGGTCCATAAGCGTCCATCGTCTCAACACTTTCAAGCACCTCATGCATGAGGGAACTCTATATTCCATTAGTAACTTTGACGTTACCTGTAGCAACCACCACTTCAAGCTATGCGACTCCACCATCTCTATTCGCTTCACAGATTTCACCAAGTTTGTTGAAATTCCAGAAACGACCCAACAAATTCCAAAAGAGTCGTTCAAGTTCCGCAACCATGAAGAATTGGTAGCCTTGGCAAACACTAACTCCGACCTACCAGGTCAGAGTATTCATATAAGAATTAATCTCTCTGTTTTCACCTGCCGATTAGTTGTTGCTTAAATATAGCTAATTTCCGACCTCAATTGCTTTCTTAAAACCAGACATCATAGGAGAAGTCACCATGATCAGAACAACTTTGAATGAGCAAACCCAGAAAACTCAACGAATAATGGCTCAGATTCGTCTTCCTAGGTACAATTCAAAATAATTTTAGTCATAATTTCAAAATAATTTTAGTCATAATTTTTTGTTTATTTGGAAAAACTAATGATTTCCTTCTGCTGCAGCACTGACACTGTATGCCTAAGTGTTTTTGATGGGCTGGCCAACGAACTTCACCAGAAGCTGGAACTCACGGGGTTGGAACCTAGAGTCATCCTCGCCACTAATATCAACCCTAAGTTTCTAAGCGGTAAAATAATGCTATTCACTCAACGTCAACATTAAGTTTCTTCATTATATAATACTTTATCTAATAACAGGTCTTCATTATATTGACTACTCACATTTTCACAGGTCGGTTATATCTTAATGCGACATCAGGTTCCCATTTCTACTTCGACAATGAAATGGACGCCACTGCAAGCTTCTGCAAAGAGTACTCTCAACATCTGTACAATACAATTGTCTTTTACAATGCTCTGTTATACTACATACACATTTACACATTGCAGTTTGGGAACCAAAGATGGAGGGCACTCCACAAAGGTAGCCACGTACAAGGGTGCGAAGAAGCTAGAAACCGTAACCCTGGCTGAGCTACATGATTACCTTCTCAGATCTGCTCCTCAGGTATATAAAACTCCCCTAAACAATAAAACTTAATCCCCTCCTTTACGCACCATGGTCTTAACATCTAACATGTCAACACAGGCCATTGACTTCATATGCAAAAGCAGAGTCACAGACATCCAATCTAAAAATGGATGGTGTTACATCTCTTGCTCAAAGAAGCTACAGCGAGGAAGCTCATCATTTACATGCACCACCTGCCACGATTCAAAAGCTGTTGGAGTCATTAGGTATTCACCTTCTTGGTTATTTTTTCACTAACTAAAACTGCCACCTCTCTCATTCCTACCTAATATCCCATTTCGACTGCCTCCTTTGTAAAGGTACCGGGTGGAGTTGTCTATTTCTGATGGCACCGACAAAGCCGTCTTTGTAGCTTTCGATACAGATATGACAAGACTGACAAATACTCGAGCTGCAGATGTGGTATGCCACACAACCCTATCATCGCTAGATTTTTTACTCTCATATCATACAACAACATTGATTTGTAGAGCATAGCTGTGCAAGGAGGCATACAAAATGAACTCCCACAGGTCATCAAAGGCATAGTTGGCACAACTTTCACTTTTCAACTAAAGCTGACAGAGTACAATTTCACATCAAAGCATCAGTCATTCACCATTTCCCGCATTTTTGAAACCCCTGATTGTCTTCCAACACCAACATTTGTCACTCAGTTTAGATTCTGTTTTCTTACCTTTGAATTTTCCATTTGCCCATAACTTTTAAGATATCGACAACTAAGAACATCAAACTGGAGTGTCAATAGGACGGAGACGATATGCCTGGCGACAATATGCCTGGAATAATCTGCGGATCTTCCAAATACTCAACCGACCACAGTGAGAAAACATTATCCTCTGGAAACGAGTACCTAAACAGCAACACAAATGATCACTCAACTCTTGAAACGGAGGAAACGGATGGCATCACCAACACTAATGATGACCCAAGTGTTCCAACTGAGGAACATACCGCCAAAAAGCCCCGCCAAACCTAGACTCAAAGTGGATGCCATGTCCACTCAAATGAGCTTTCTTTTATGTTTACCGTCGCATCTGTTATCTTTCCGATATTTTCTCTTTTTTTAATTTCAAGATTTTCAGACCTCACCTGGGTGAGCTATATAATACCCAAAATGCAGTTTTACATTATACGTCCACTTCTTTTTCATTATGTTAAATACGATGTTCCCCACTGAATCTATAACCCTAGAGATAATTATACCCAATTGGGTAAAATTGATATAAATTAGATATATGTGTAGAGTGAATATGAAACAGACCATGGTTCTTAACCCCACAAAAAAATCTATATAATCTAATCTATAAAATTTCACTCCTAACTACACCCAATGAACATTTTATATCCAGTTTTATGAAGGATTTAAATAAATAAAAATGACTAAAAATAATTTGTGAATTAATTTTATACCACAATCATAGGTAAAAATATTTTATTCAATAAAAATAACAATAATAATACACGGCATAAATTAATTATTAGTGTACATAAATGGTCAATACTATGTGTACAACTATGTTGCACGGAAATGGAAACGGATACGTGGAAGCGGAACGTTTCGAAACGCGGAAACGCTATTTTAAAAAAATATAGAAATAGAAACGTTTTGGAAACGTATATATATATATATATTAAATATTAAAGATCTAATTATAAGTAGAATATTTAATCAAAAAAATCTAATATATAATTTTTACATAATTATTAAACTATAAAATTTAAAATATGTAAAGTCAAAAATTTAGAAGATTTTCTTTATTATCAATTTTATTAGTTTCATTAACCAATCTATCTCTAATTCCAATTCATCCAGAGAATAATTTTCAAACTTAGTAATCTCAAAATTAATCTTAATTACCAAATCAAAATATTTATTATTTACTATAAATAAGTAAATTGATTATTTAATTTAATTTTTATAATTATTTATTTGTTCTATAAAAACAAAAAATTAGTTTTTATCTTCTTTTCAAAATGGAAATGCGTGTTTCTAAAATGGAAACGTGTTTCCAAAGTGTTTCCAAATTAGAATTTTTAGGAAACGTGATTTTTCGTGTTTTCGACGAGTTTCCGAGAGTTTCGGTTTCTGAAACGTTTTGGAAACGGGAAACGTACCTCGGACAGAGTTTCCATGCAACCTAGGTGTACAAAAATAAATATTCAAACAGTAATACACCATCAAATAACGTATAAATAAAGTAACGGTAGTGAGAGGTCCATGTAATTTACAACCAATATTAATTGCAACTAATGTACAAATATATTACAATATCAAATTATCAATATCGCACACCATCTACAAATCTCAACTACAACAAACATAAATCCCTATATTCTCCCTCAAATGCATCTACAACATTTTTAAATCTAATCCTCACAAAAGCAAACAGTGGTGAACAAAACCTCTATTGAGAAAGGGGAACCCTGCAACCGTCAATATCATCCTCACATAACACCCACAAAGACCTCCATGAAGAAAAACGGAACCTCTACACGTACAAAGAAACAACCAGGTACCAATACATAAACCAATGCAATTATAACATTGACATTACTAAGTATTGATACCAATCAAAAATTCTAGGTGTGGAAGAAGTAAACAAAAGACGACCATGGTTATGTGAAAAGTATCTCACAACTCCAATCATCGTATCAATTAAACGAACGGCAATGTATGCACTATCTTTAACCCAATATAAGATAAAAACTTTAATATACCAGATCATACTGATATAAATTTTGATTTTACCAATAATGAAGTTGCTGCTAAGAAAGCATGAGAACAACGGAAAAGTTTGACATCATCAAAAAGAGTTAAACAGCTCATCCAAGGTACTTTTGCAAACTTTTTTTTTTTAAAATATATCATGTCTTTACATCACTATATTTCAAACAACAATCACCTTCATACATTAACCTTGCACTATCTATACGGGAATTATGTTGGTCCCAAATTGCAGCCGGTCCGAGTGCTGTTAATCCTGCAGAAACAAAGAAGTTTTTTTCACTCAATGGTATAATAGTTGTAATACATTTATATCCTAGATTATTGTTCTACTTTCTTAATAAACGAAACCTTTTGTATTTTATAGAGATTCCAAACAAGAAAAATAGCCAACCCTGGCTCTCTGGTGAATTCCAAAATGCTACATACATCAATTTCGCATATGCTCACAACTCCTCACAGAAAACAGGTAATAACCAACATTTTCCGGATTCATTATCAATGGTCTAATAAAATAAATGCAACTTATAGCTAATACAATTGACAGCAATGGCAAAGAAAGCACGGCTTTAACTGGAATTCATGAATCCAACATCCCCATCGTGCCTTTAACTGGAATATAATAAAATTGATGAATGTTTCTGAAAATAAAATTTTAAATTCAACTACGAATACACTAAAACAGCAATTTAACAGTTATGAAATTCTTCCAAAATATTTAATTAATTATCAAATTGACAATTATTACATTTATATACACAAAACTAATGCTTTCAATTATTTCATATTTTCACAGCCACAACATCGATATCTGCGACCACTCAAGGTACATTTTATAAATATATTAATACATATCTCTGATTTTAACACCTAACTCATGTATAAAATACATCGTAACTTCCAGGAACAGGAAACACGACAGCTCTTAATAATTCTGCTATTAAATACATGCTCATTTTGTGACGCATTAGTATGGAACGGGGAAGCTGTTGGAAATAAGAGCAGTAAGACAACAAAATTATTCAGCATTTGTTGTCAGCAAGGTCGTGTACAATTGCCACCTGTACGACAGCCTCCGTCACCCTTAAAAGAACTATTGGAAACTCCAAGTTTTTTCAAAACATCCGGATAGCCAATGGGATGCTAGCTTTTACATCAATGGGTGCACAAGTTGATCACACAGTCACAGGAACACCAGGACTGTTCACTTACAGAATCCACGGCCAGAATCATCACCAAATCGGCTCAATCTTACCAGTTGATGGGAAGCCACCACAGTTTCTACAGCTCTATATTTTTGACACACAAAATGAAGTGCAAAACAGAAAGAAAGCCATGAGTCGGGGCGCTTCAAAAGTTAAACTTGATGACCACATCATCGTTCAGTTGATCAACATGCTAGATTCAAATAATCACCTCGCAAGGTTGTTTCGACATGCAAGAGATCGTTTTGAATCATCAAATTCTATGGAGTTCAATATAAGGTTGATTAGCCAAAACCATCGTGGGAGACAGTATGATCTACCGAGTGTAGACGAGATTGGTGGTCTAATAGTTGGAGACTTCTCAATTAACACTGGAGGAAGAGATGTTGTTCTTGAATTCAAATCTTCGTCTCTGCAAAGGATAAGTGATCTACATCCACTCTTTATGAGTCTACAGTATCCATTGTTATTCCCTTATGGTGAATATGGTTACCATGAAAATATACCATATCGAGCAAGAGAAGGTTCACATATAAAAAGGGAGTGTATGACAATGCGGAGTACTACGCGTACCAAATTCAGACAAGATTGAGAGAGGGATCGACAATCATTAAAGCTGGAAGGCTATTGCATCAATATATTGTGGACGCATACACTGCCACTGAACAAGAAAGAATACATTTCTTCAGGTTAAACCAAAAAAAAATAAGAGCGGATTTATACAACAATGTATGTGACGCAGTAGAAAGAGGAGATACAGATGCCAAAAAAGTAGGAAGAAAGGTAATATTACCAGCTACATTCACTGCTGGTCCTCGGTACATGGCTGAAAAATATCAAGATGCAATGGCTATTTGCAGATGGTATGGAAATCCAAACCTATTCATTACAGTAACAGCAAATCCGAGTTGGATAGAAATAACACAGCACCTAGAAGCATATGGAGGAGAATCGGCAAACAGCAGACCAGATCTAGAATGCAGAGTTTTCAAGCTCAAGCTAGATGAAATGATGGCAGATTTTAAGAAAGGAATCTTCTTCCCCAAACCTGCAGCATGTATTTTTATTGCAAAATCAAAAATTATAATACCATAACGAGATCAATCACACCAATACAAACTGACTACAACACTTGATCATTTGAATTTTGTAGTTGTCTACACAATTTAGTTCCAAAAGCGAGGCCTGCCACATGCACATATTCTTCTATGGTTTGAAGGATCAAAAAGAGAAGGTACTGCTTCAATGATTGACCAATACATCTCTGCAGAATTACCAAACAAGGCAATAGACAAAGAGGGGTTTGAATTGGTGGAACGACATATGATACACAGTCCTTGCGGAAAGCATCGCATTAAGTCACCATGTATGGACAAAGGAGAGTGCACCAAAAACTACCCAAGAGCATTTTAAGAACATACAAGCATTGACAAATCAGGCTTCGTTATATATAGAAGGAGAGAAGATGAGTCAACATCTGCTCTCAAAGGTGATATCAAGCTTGATAATCGACATGTGGTCCCTCATAACCTCAGCCTTTTGAAAAAATACAAGGCTCATATTAATGTCGAGTGGTGTTGCAAAATAAGCGCAATAAAGTATTTATTTAAGTACATCACACAAGGGGTGGACAAAGCCAAAGCCACAATTGTGATTGAAAGAGCCACAAAGAAAGCAAAGGGAAGTGGTAAGCAGAAATAAGATATTGAACCAATCAATGAGATTGATGATTATCTCGATTGTCGTTATGTCTCCGCATGTGAGGCTGCATGGAGATTGTTTGCATTTCACATCCACCACCACAAGCCTTCTGTTATGAAGTTATCACTTCACCTGCCTGGTCAACAAATATTATTATTTCAGAAATCAGACGATTTGAGTAATGTTTTGTCAAGAGAGGACATAGAGAGAATTATGTTGATAGCATGGATGGAAGGAAACAATATTAACGAGGAAGCCATGGATCTGATATATGTGCAATTCCCAGAAAAGTTTGTCTACCACTACAAAGAAAAAATCTGGACACCAAGGAAAAAAATGGGGCGGCGTCAATTGCGAGAGTTGTATACATCCACCCAGTGGTGGTGATTTATACTATCTAAGGATTTTAATCAACGTCATTATATGACCCAGAAATTTCGATGAGATCTATACAGTTGGTGGGGTCCTATATAAGAAGTTCAAAGAAGTATGTTATGCAAAAGGATTATTAGATGATGACAAAGAATGGCATGATGCTTTAGACGAGCCGGCACATTGGGCAACAGCACCTCAATTAAGAAGATTATTCGTCACAATCTTAGTCTACTGTCAAGTGGGAAATCCGGTCAGTCTTTGGAATTTTGCGTGGAAATATCTAGCCGAAGACATTCTATACAAGAAGTGTAAAGAATTGACCTTCCAGGGATTACAGCTAGAAGACGCACAGTTGCAACAATACACCTTGATAGAGATTGAACAACTACTCCAGGAAAATGACCGGTCTCTAAAAGATTTCCCAGGAATGCCTCTACCCAACAAAAGCATCCTGAAAGACATTACCAATAGTGTGCTGAGGGAGGAACTGAACTTGGACATACAGAAAGAAACAGAAGAGCACACCAAACTCTATGGATTTTTGAATGAAGAGCAGAAATCAGTCTACAATGCTGTTATAGATTCTATAGATAATAATGCAGGGAATCTGTTTTTTTGTTTATTGAACAGGAGGGAGTGGGAAAACATTTTTGTGCAAGACCATTATCGCAAAACTGCGGTCAACCAAAATAGTAGTCATACCTGTTGCATCAGCCATAATCGCAGCCCTATTACTTCCAGGAGGCAGGACAGCACACTCCCGTTTCAAGATACCCTTAAACATCAACGAAGGATCAATGTGTGATATCAACGCAGGAAATATGTTAACTGGTCTAATAGAAAAGGCAGATTTAATTATATGGATTTCTAACCGAAAAAAGTAATTTCTACTTTAGATATGCTTAAGGGCATGAAATAATTGGAAGTCTTCATTCGCCACATGCAGAGTCTAACAAATTCATTTATAAAGTTTGGGCCCCCAATAGAACCAAAAATAACATAAAATGCAAAATCAAACAAATTGTTAACAAACACGACCGAAGAAAAGATATTCATTTATTAAGAACACTATGATACCAAAAACACTGAAAGTTTATATTATATACATGCATCAAACCATTATTAATACTGAATGGTCCTTAAAATTAATAAACAAATAAATATATACTTTTAATCTATAAAGGGAAACGGTTTTACTCAAATCTTACATTAAATATTTGAAACGGAGAGAAAACTAATAAGCCTGAATTGTAATCAACACCGTATGCATATCAATTATGTTTACAAATATTGGCACATACACTCTAATTACATTAAAATAAATGCCCTCAACAATGAAAGTTAATTAATGGAATTAAAAACATTCAGATAGGCACTGAAAAGGTGTAACCTCCGCGACAACGACACCTATAAAAACCACTACCAACAAACTTAGAAACCACTCAAACAATAACAAAGAACCCCCAAAGAATGTCTCTCACAAACACAATGTCACGGCTAGAATCATTACCACAAGATCTTCTTGGTGATATACTATCACGAGTAGCTCAATCTGGCCGCGTCAATGTTCGCCAATGCATGCAAACATCTATGAGACTAGCAAAAGCTGCAGAAGACAAAAGAGTTCTCAAGAAGCTTAACCTAAGACCTCTAGCATTGAATCCATTAGCAACACTCCACCAGTACGAGAAACTGATGGAGAAATGTCTAGAGAGTGGAAACCTAGAATCCCACTACATCAAAGGCATAAAAGAATACTTCTTCTACAATAACATCACCACGGGTTTACTACATCTACGTGCTGCAGCGGAAGGTTCGTACGACGATGTAATTTATCTATATGGAATTCTTATGTTATGCAGGGGACAACCATCAGAAGGCAAGAAATATTTGGACCTTTTAGGACGGCAAAAAAGCAAAATAAGAAGTGATCGCAGCTGGCGGAATATTAGAAGATCATTACATTTTATTCCAGTCATAAAGTGGATAATAAACCGCACCAGTTTAAGGAACACCAAACCCTCGAAACGATGCAACTTAAATGACATGGACACCAGGTGCAGCAAGTGTTACTACTACAAATAGATGAAGAAATTCATCAACCTTCCCTAAACAATGCAATGACGAAAAACAGAGATGAAAGTTCTTCACGTCCAACTTATCCCATTCGAATCTATATATATATTTGTGCTTTAAATTCACAATTTGTTTCAATGTTAGGTTGTTTCTTTCATGCTTTCTCAAACTCTTACACAAAAATATTTAAAAGTTATATATTACTCTATCATAAATTGTTACGTTACATGATAACGAAGCCAATCATTAAAAACATGAGCAAATTTAAGAGAAAACTATTAAGCGATTGAAATCATGAAAAGCTGGAAATAACTCTTATGAACAAACCTACATTAAAAAACAAAAAATAATAATACAAAGACTAAATAATAGCAACACGAGACACTAGAGTTCACTATGACAATTATAATATAAATTAAATAACAACAACCACTGAGGGATTATACAAACTACGTATCATTTACGTCTCAAAGACAGCCACAACCCCTTCAAATTACAATACTAAAGTCCACACCCGGCAATAAAAGAGAAATAAATACAATAAATTGCAAATACTAACTGTTATAGTGAGTAAGAGTATGAAAATAAGAGGTTTTAAGACGATTGAACATACCAACTAATTCTCAATCAAAACCTAACGGCAAAATAAATTTATTCTTTCACCATTCACGCTCCAAAACGGACACAACCCCATGCAATTACAATACAAATTGTCCATACAAAGCAATAAAGACAGACAAAGACAATAAATTGCAAATCACAACAACGAAACGGCAAAAGTAGTTCCCCCTATATAATAGCCCGTAATAACAGATATAGAAAACAATGCAAACCAAATTACCCGGAAATATGGTGGAAATGAAACCGTTGCCACAACTCCAGGATCTGCCACCCGGTATAGTCGGAGAAATTATCTCACGGGTGGCTAGAAAATCAAGGAAAGACGTCCGCAATGTCATGGCAGCATCTCCCAAACTGGCATCTGCAGCACAGGATGAACATGTTTACAAGAATATCAACCTAAGACCACTTGCCCTGCATCCATTGGCAGCAATTAAGAAATACAAAGACTTAATGGAAATATGTCTTGCAAGTGGAAACGCAGAGGCCCATTACATAAAAGGCATCCAAGAGTATTTTTAAAAAAACAACACCCACGCAGGATTGCAGCATCTACAAAGTGCAGCGGAAGGAGGCTATGCAAATGGTATTTATCTTTATGGCATTCTAATGTTATGCATAGGAGAAATCGCAGAAGGTCAAACTTACTTGGACAAGCTAGGCTGGAGACATAACAAATCAAAGGCTGATCAATGCTGGAGAAACATCAAAAGATCGCTCCATGGAGTAAGAGTAAGGAGGCTGGCACGTTACATGATCACCTTGAGGAGTGTGAAAGCAACAATTATGTGCGATCGCAAAGACATGGAGAATAGGTGTCAACACTGCTACTACTACAAACAAATGGTGAAGTTTGTGTTCATCATTTGACATCAAATGATAATAATAATTTCTCAGAAAAACCAATGTGTTTCAATTTTAGTTTGAGTCTCTCCTTGATGATTTTCTATGGAAACTTTTTTTTTAACTGCAAATATTTATTCATATAGAATTGATGTAATCTTGATACTTTTATTTTAAACAAAATTGACGAAATATCAGATTTATAAGGTGAGGTTCTTATAGTTTCACACAATTAAAACAACAACCTAAATTACAAAGCAAATGTAACCAACCAAGTTCACAGAAAGTACAAGAAAATAAACACAACAACTAAACAGTAGTAACATCAGAAAGTAGATACATCAAACGAAAGGTTAACAAAAACAAAAAAACTCAAATGGCACCACACTAGAGATCCTGCGATGAGTATGCGAACATTGTAAGTGAATACTAAATTTATAACCGGAAGAAACCACCACATTTCAATTCTACACTTTCTGACCTTCAATATGATGAGAGAGAGAAGACCTAAAAAGAGTCAGGGACAGTAACCTTAAATTCAAATCAAGATAAATCGATGGAGACGATAGACAACCATCATGAATCAGGTAGCAAACCCAATCTCAAAGTCATTAGGTCGATGATTTCTCCACTTATAAATCGGTACAGGAAGTTACAAAAACTAACCCAATGCAGCGCCATAGAAATCGGATAGAACACACCCATCAAAATTTATGTAGTTGGCCACAAATCGAAATGTAGAATATAAGGATGTGGACATAGAGAAATGACGGAGGAAAAAAAAATTGAATTGGATTTCCCTGAGACGGAAGGAATGGGACTGAACTTTCGTCAAGTTTGTGGAGATAAGGGAACATGATTTTCATTAATTATCGTCACTGAATTAACCGATGTTGGGTGCTCCGTGAATGTGCATTTTGGTGGTGGTCGATTAATGTCAATCTTCATTGAAAGTAATTTACTAATTGGGGCACTTTACATGGTCTATGGTGTAAATGGGTCAGTTATAGGCCCACCGAAATTGTTACATCGCATTAAGAAAAATCACAATTTACAATAAACAAAAACAAAACAGTTCCTTACAAATAAACAACTGATAGACCATGTAAACAACTGATATAAACAACTGATATATTTATATACATATTCTAATTTCTCACCAAAAATATATACATATTCTAATATATTCCCTTAAAAAAAACACAAGAACATCACATATATTTTGTAATGAGTCACACAACAAATTAAAATACTGTTATAGTGATATCATAAAACATAAACAGTTAAACATTAACCTTACAAAATCTTACCACCAACCGTTAGAAGGAAATTAACAAACTATATATATGTACTATAAATCTTTACTGATTTTCAAATGTAAAATATATTGCTTTACAAAATACACTAAAAAGATATAAAATGTACACATCTACTTTTTCAGACATTTAGAACAACATTAAAGTATACCAAACTCTAATATATATATATATATATTATAATATCATAGTATAAAAATGATTTCATAAAAACAAAACAATTCAAATTAAACTTATACAAAATTCCTGCGCGAAGCGCGGGCCAACCACTAGTAATAATTAACAGCACACTCAAGTCTCTCCATAGTTTGACATATCAGATTTTTTTAATCTTTGATAAGCTGATACCTCAGCTATTTTACAAACTAATCAAATTAAACCATTAATATAACTCATCTACTTATTTTAATTTTTAAATTTAAACCCATTAAAAACTCAAATATATTTTTTTTGTTAATAATTTTTTTTATTTTTTAAAAAATCAAAACCCAATTAATAAACAACATCAAATAAAAAAATATTTGTTATATTGCATATCCAAACTCAAATAATAAATAACAGCAAATAAAAAAAATAAACAACATCAAATAAAAAAAATATTTGTTTTACTTTTTTTTTCAAACCCAAACCTAAATAATAATTAACAGAAAATAAATAAAAATTTTAGCTATTTGTTTTTTCGACAGGACGTATATGATTGAAAAAGTGTAGGCTCATCATCAACTATGTTTCCATACCAACAACGCAAAAAGCCTTATGTTATAAGAAGCTCACATATCAGCAAAAAATTGAACCAATAAAAACATAACAATAATACATATCATTCACACACTAATAAAATCAGTTTACTATTTTGCAGACCTATTAAAAAACCCAAAAGTTTACAAAAATGGAAGTCGAATGCAAATGAGGAGAAGCTTAGCCACCATAATTTGGAGATTCACATTTCCAGTGGTTACTCTGAACAAATTTTCATGTGTTTAGCGGGAATAGGTAATTCTTTGGTTTCATAGGAAAATGTGATTTTCAGTTTTGCTAGGAAAACATAATTTCTTGGTTATGGTGGAAAAATGAATTATTGGGTTTGGCGGAAAAATGTGAATTTTTGGTTTTGGTGAGATTACAAAAAAGAAAAAAAAATTTAACGCGAAAACAAAATATCTTAGTTTTGACGAGAAAATGCGAGGGAAATGCAACTTTTCAATTGACAAAAATACGATTTCTTAGTTTTGATAGGAAATGCAAATTTTCGACTTTTGATGGATAATGTGATTTTTTGATTTTTTTTCGGGAAAGTGTGATTTTTTAGTTTTTTTGTGGGAAATTGTAATTTGAAGACTTTGGCGAAAAATGCAATTTCTCAGTTTGATGGGAAAACAAAATTTCTTGGTTTTGAAAGGAATAAGCAATTTTTCGGTTTTGATGGAAAATGCAAATTTTCAGTTTTTTGACATATAATGTGATTTTTTGGTTTTCACGGTAAAATGCGATTTCTTAGTTTTCGCGGAAAACATAATTTCTCAGGAGATAATGCAATTTTTGGTTTTCATGGAAAATTGTAGTTTATCAGTTTTGGTAGGAAAGCCTGATTTTTAGTTTGATGATTTTTTTTTTTTTTTTTGCGGGAATTGACGATTTTTCGGTTTTCGTGGGAAAATGAATTTTTTTTGTGTTGGTGAAAAAACTTGATTTCTCTGTTTTGATGAAAAAACACAGGTTCTCGCAGGAAAATGTGATTTTTTGGTTTTTGCGGGATAATGCAATTTTTTTGTTTTGGTGTGAAAATGAAATTTCAAGTTTGATGAGAAAATGAATGTTTCTGGTTTTGGCAGGAATAAGTGAAATGATTTTTTTTTGTTTTGACGGAAAGTGCGATTTCTCAGTTTTTTTTTTAAAATGGCAATATGCTTTATATAATTTCAAAGGAGGATCAAGTGGCAATTTAGTAGAGATAACAAATTATATTTGCCATTAGCATAAAGGTACTTAAAAATGTATTGTTTTATTCTTACATATACATTTATATATAGTTAGCTAAACAAATTTGATAGTAGATTATAATTTTGAAAAATAAAAAAATTTAAGGGTATATAATGTTTATTCAGATTTAAAACATATAAATACATAACTTAAGCTAATAAAAAATAAATATAATACTCATTTACATTACAAAAATAATTTTATTATATTAAAAATATATACAAAGTCTATCAATATATCCCGCAGCCTAGCGCAGGTATTTACCTAGTTTTAATAATATTACAACTATAACTATTGAAACCAATTTTATCACAACCAATGATAAGACAACACGTTAACACCCCTAACCAGCCCCCCTCCTTAAAACTGAGCCTACGGCTTTTCATCACTCTTCATGGAAAGATATTTTCGTCACACTCTCAAGAGATTGCCTGAGGTATATACATTTTCCATCCTGTTTACCAGATAAGAGAGAGTTCTAACCTCTTTTTCGTATCTGTCTATAGCCCTCAGGCGTTACCAAATATCATATGAACACAACGATCAATGGACATGATATTCCACCCCATAACCTTATCAAAACCTATCTTCCTGAGTATTTATTTCTAGTAAAGCATTTCAAATTTCAGCGTCGGAAAACTTTCGGAAGCTATGAAGACATCAAACTAGTGTTTGAACATTTGAACTTGCGCTTAAAGAAAGTGAAGCATGGGTATCAGCCAATCAAGTGACATATCATAATGATCTTCCAACAGAAGTAAATGCTTCCTTAACTACAGACCCACCGGTTTTCACATGTTGAATATATGGATATTGGAAAGGAGATAGTTCCACAAGCGGCATGGTTGGATTTTAAACCTACAAGATGGATCAATTGACCTCTTGGGCCTCCAAGGCAGTTTTTCGGGCCATTACAACTCTCCATCTCGAATATAATATGGGGCCTGAGATGCCTAAAACGATGAAACCGACATTGTTACCATTTTGTCAGAGATTCCCATGATCCTGTATAAATAGTGAAGAAATCAAATACCATCTTTTTCAGTAGAGCTAGAAGCGCCCACACTTGAAATCATCTCTTCTCTTATGTGGGAACATTGGTGCCATTCTTGTTAATTTTCAAAGATTATTATTGTATCTATTTTTCTCATCACAAAAATAACAATAACAGAGGCAGAATTTTATTAATGAGTTTTAGTTTAGTTTTACTATTGGTTTATGTGTTTATGACTATCACATATAAACAACAAGTACATGCACACGTGATCAGATATCATTTAACTACCCAAATTTAAAAGGCTTCTTAGGAACTTTTTCGAGTTTTAAATTTATAAAGACCTTAGGTTGCAAGTTCAGAGCATGCAATGTAGTATTTAGAGCATCTCCAATGGTAGAATCCAATTAGAGATTCTTAACCAATTTTTAAACATAAATTTTCTATTATTCTATTTTAAGAACCTTTGTAATAAATTTTAATTTTTTGCTGTTCCAGTGGTAGAACCTTTAATGAAGTTTTTAAGAATAACAATTTTATATCATTTCTCTTCTACTTCACAATCACAAAAATAACAATGAGTTCCAAATTGATAACTCCATCAACTGTAATAAGAGCTTGCAAGTATACAATCTATGGGATAATTGTCATAATTTACCTCCACACTGCACCTCGGTAATAATTCATGGCCAAAGTCCTACTTGATCATTTTCCATTAACGCTACAAGTCCCTCCACCTATATCACCAACTGACTTTTTTTAACATTATGACAAATGTGGTAACAGAAACCTTTGAGGTGTCGAGGCTTGCATCACTCTGCTCTTTGTGTACTGCATCTTTGTAGAGGGAGTAAAAATGGCATTCCATAATCCCATATTGACTTGGAAGAAAAGGTTCAGAAACTTCACGTGTTGACCAGGTTAAAGACAGTGAATGGCCTGCTTCTCACTAACTTTCTCTACTATGATCCTTAAAACAGAACCAAAAGTAGGAAACTTGCGTAACACATATGTAGGCAGCATCTCTAGTTCAACACATAGAGGGAGCCTTTCTGACCTGTTATGATGTCAAATTGCAAGACAAAAAACTGAGCTCTCAAGAGCTAACACATTAGGTATGGTATATCTGACCGGAAGCTGGGGAAACAATACAAAAGATGGGATCTCAAATCCAAGTTTCAAAAGAAAATCAGGGAGACTTACTTTACCACGATATTGCACGGTGGCATCTCAGTTCCATCCCAAACAAAGATGTACCACCTATCTTTATCGTCCTTGGAAATGTGAGCAATATTCACCAGGCAACAAATAAAGAGGAAAACAATGTCAAAGACATAGCAGATCTATAGTCTATAATTTGAACATTTCCAGTTTCTCAAGTACAAATAAACTTGAAAGATGATTCCAAAATAAAA